CAGAAGGAAACATCCATTAAACTCAGTGTGCTGCTCTGTGATGCTAGTTCAGATACTTGGCATCTCATCTTGGGTGCAAGTTCATCAATGTTTGGGCTCAGGCTCTGAGCTGAGGAGACCCTCAGGATGGAGTGAAGGTGTGCGTGCAATATACCGGAGGGCCAGATCTAATAGGAATTAGAAATGATCCTGCGGGCCGAAATTAAACCAACCAAGGGCCTAATTTGGCCCCCGGGCCTTGAGTTTGACACATGTGGACTAGAGGCATGGGTTTTGATTTCTGATGTGGGTTTTCATCAGCGATTTTCTGAAGCTTCTCCACCCCGCTAAGATTTAACTTTGAGCGATGTGTTTCAGATTGATTTGATGAAAGCGAGGAGAGTAAAGGAAAATGGGAACTACATTTTTTTTTTTAACAACCACTGCCAAAGACAGCCACTGACTTCAACATCTTCCCCCAACAAAATGAATAATCCAGTATCATTTTAAGCTATAAAACCACACAGCTGACATATATATATATATGAGCTGACAATGACAGGAATGGCTTCATAGTCAAATGCCAACATGCTTCAAAGATAAAGGGGACAACCCTAACCTCAACATCCTGGTTCATACAGTCTAAATACAGTTTTCAAAAATGTACCCTTAAAGGTGAAAATAACACTGCTTTCTATCATCTCGTGCACATGTTAATTATTATTTTTATATCAAAATGAGTCAGTCCTGAGTTATAGTTTGCTTAGCTCTATTTTGCCAAGACCATGGTACCAAGAAAACAGCCACAACAAAATAATACACAATTGTTCACCCACCAACAGCTGTCACCGGATGAGGAAAGCCACATCAATGTTTCCTCGTGTTTTTCCAGGTTTTTTTTTTCTTTTGCCTGCTCTGAACACAGTTTCTTTAGAGCAGGTTTGTTGGGGTGTTGTAAAAAGGTCAAATCCCAAGAGCTTAAGCCATCTTTGTGTTCCACCACTCCTCTTCATGACAGGTATTTTAAAGGTTAGCATCTGACCGTCAAAAGAGCATTGGATGTACCTGCTCTGTACAGTACATTTCAGTTCAGACAGTATTACTCGTATCAGAAATGTATTCTTTACATAGCTGACAGTACATTTTCTCATGCATCCACTAAGATATGCATCGTACTACCATGGTCTTAGTACTGTAACATGATGAAAACACATTTGGGAGAAGGTATGCAAATCTATCAAAATCAGCTGTCGGTATTTTTATATTCAAGCTACTTTTTTCCTGTTGTGGAAACACTAAGAAATACTGCAGATTATCCTTCAAGCTACTGTCTCTTAATCCACACTGACATTTGAGATATGCTGACATTATGTGTTTGATTTAGAGCCATCGAATGAAAGCCAGATGTAGCTGCTGTTAACGTAATGATATTCTACAGAATGATCTTGTCAGTAGTGTTTTTTATAACAGCCAAAAGCCACTGTCTAAATCCTCAAAAGGTGGAAATCTGATCTTGAACTATTTCCAAAATGCTGGTTTAATGTGAAACATCGTGATGAGCATCTGTTTCTGTATTCAGATCACTGTCAGCAATGAAAACAATATTTTCTTCATACATTTTCAATAGCATGAAGATCTCAAGTTATTCCCGGAATTAGACCAACGTTGTCCGTACACGAAGTTATCCATTCCTTTCTCTGTCAGCAACATGCAAATATTTCAAATGAACAGTCAAACTTGTTCTCTGAGTAACAAGTCTGTGTCTCCACTGAACCAGAGATAACAGTTTGATTCCAGAAATGTAAACATCTTCCCTTTCTATTTTATTCCCACATTGTACAAACCATATTTTAGTTGTACAACACTCTGAATCGTTCTGAAGTGTATGGCTTGAAGAAATACTTCCTAAATGAACATCTGTAGATCAGTTGTGCTACATTGAATTTGTGAAGAAAACTGTTTTTCTCACGTGCCTCAACGGTGAACACACAATCCCCAAACATTTGAAAAGTCTTTTATGAATTGAAGAAAATGGGGTAAGCGATTTGAAGCAAAACAACCGTTTACAACCCTTTACACAAGTCTCTTGTATCCGGTCGTTGGTTAATTATTTCCCTTACCCAGGCTTTATAGGTTTCATTTAATCAAACATCTACTTTTAAAACACTTCCACATAAGAGTGAGTCATCTTTATTCAGAAGTGGTTTTGGTGAAAAAGCATGTGTTTCGAAGGGAGTGAGCATACTGTACGATGGGATACATGAGACTTTGATTATTCAGCACAAGTAGTGGGTGAGTTTGTAAGAGTTGTGAAAGAAGGACCCATTTACTTTAATTCATCAAGACTTGTATCTGTTTTGAATTATTCGTTCAACAAGGAATTTAGTAGGAACATCTTTAAAAAATCAAGCTAACACAGATTGAGTTATTTTTATACAAATAATAATTTGAGGTGTGAAATATCCCTTTAATTAAGAACCAGTAGTATTTCCCTCAGTCGGGCCAGAGAGGTGTTTCCTGCTGGCTTCTGAGTGCTGTGTACACACACACACACACACACACACACACACACACACACACACACACACACACACACACACACACACACACACACACACACACACAGGAGAAGAGGAAAAAGCAGGCCCCGTCTGTACCGCCCTGAAAGGGAAACGAACATCTGGAAGTGGAAGCCTTTTAACTGCGGGGGTGCAGGGGTAGGATGGGGATCCCAGAGGAAAGTTGCTCAATATAAAACAACACATTCTCTCTATTCCTTCTCTGTGAATTCTTGCTTACTTTCTAAATGTCTTTTTTGTTTTCCAATACCTGCAAAGATTTAGAAATGAAACCGCTTTATTAAATGATAACAGTAAGTGTTTACCACCCACCTGCACTCCTTTCATGTCAGTTGACAAATAAAATAAAAACACCTCTGTGTCCAGGTTGCCACTATCAGAATGAGAATTCCTTTATTAGTCCTGCAGCGGTGACATTTACAGTGTTACAGCAAAGGTGAATTGACTGATAAAAGTGTGTGTAGACTGTTCTGTGGGGGGTGGGGTGGGCGAGTTAGCCACCAGAGGAGAGAGAGCGTCTGTTTCCACCAGGAGGTCTGCAGTGTGACCGCAACACTGATTGGTGGAGCTGTGCTTTAAGCAGGAAAGGACACAGGGACACATCCTGGCTTTTAATTTACACACACACACACACACACACACACACACACACACACACACACACACACACACACACACACACTAGAGCTAGAGTTGACATGCTCGCTCACTTCCCAACATCCAAAAGCTGTTGTAACATTTGGTCAGAATGGACTCTCCCTGGATTCTTCTGCACATTACTCACCCTTTTAAACTAGATTACAAAATAAAGAAAATCCCCAAAGAGTGAAAAGTAATCAAGCTGAAAGAAACTTGAGGAGAAACACAACCACCTAGTGTGTGTGTGTGTGTGTGTGTGTGTGTGTGTGTGTGTGTGTGTGTGTGTGTGTGTGTGTGTGTGTGTGTGTGCGCGCGCGCGCGCTGCTCATTCCTGTGAGTTTACACACAGCAGTGTCCCCTGGTTCCTGTGTTACTCTGTGAACTCATTCTCTCTCACTCCTCTCTGCTCTGCGAGAGACATTTAGAATAAGTCGATACATGATGTGTGAAAACGCTGATGATAGGTGTGGTATTGACCCAGTAATGTGGCTTTAAACAGACACACACACACGCACACGCACACTACACTATACTCTAATGGCTTTCGCTGCCTCGCCAACCAAAGTGCTAAATACTGCATTTAAAACAGCTGCGTTAAGACATGGCAATTAACACCCGCAACGTTTACAGAAAAACATGCCACAAAATGTGTCATGTGTCTTCAAGGGTATTCCGGTAAAGCCTTTGACATTCGACTAAATTGTTTTAAATAACTACTGAAATCTGCATAATCAAATAAAGAAATGATAACCAAAAACACTTGATTCAAGGCAAGGCAAGTTTATTTATATAGGCGAGGTGAGGCAAGTTTATTTATACAGTACCTTTCCGCACACGACAACCCAAAGTGCTTTACAAAATAAGATAAAAGATAGTCAAATCAACACAACAGGTATAAAATACATGGATAAAAGCCAAACTGCAGTTTGAATTCAAACAACTCATCCAAATGCTGCGTCGAAAAGAAAAGTGGTCGGGGCATAAAAACGCAATGCTGCTTCTCCTTGTTTAGTTCTGACTCGTGCAGCAGAGAGCAGACCCGTCCCAGAAGACCTGAGACTCCTGGCTGGTTCATATGTTTGCAAAAGATAAATATGTATGTTTCCAAATAAACAAATGGAATTACAAATGTCCTGCTGGTTCCCTGACCCTCTCTCTCTTGCTCTCCTGCTGGTTCCCTAAACCTCTCTCTCTTCCTCTCCTGCTGGTTCCCTGACCCTCTCTCTCTCTCCCTCTCCTGCTGGTTCCCTAACCCTCTCTCTCTTGCTCTCCTGCTGGTTCCCTGACCCTCTCTCTCTCTCCTCCTCTCCTGCTGGTTCCCTGACCCTCTCTGTCTTCCTCTCCTGCTGGTTCCCTGACTCTCTCTCTCTTCCTCTCCTGCTGG